AACCCTTTACGTTTAAAACGTAAAAACCTACTAACTAACTAGTAGTAGTTAGTTAGAGTTTTTAACTTTTTAACTAGTAAACCGAAAAACCCAAAACTTTACTTTAACTAAATTAACTAACTAGTTAAAGTTTAAAATTTAACCTAACCTAAATTTAAGTTACGTTTACGGTTTTTTTCGGTTTTACGAAGGTACGTTAACTTAACTTCGGTAGGTTTAAATTTTAAAGTTAAGTTAGTAGGAGACTACTACAACCCCCCAACCCCCCCCCCCCTCCCCCAACAAACAACAAAATTAAAAGAAAAACCTTCTCTTCTGGAAATCAACTAGAAAATCGTAACCTTTCAAAAACTTAAAACTTGCACCATACAGAAGAATCTTCTTCTTTTAATTCACTAATACCTTTCAAGGACAAGCTTGCAGGAAACAATTCTTTATTACTGTTATTCAAATAGCTTTCTGATATCTGCCCCAAATTTTTATGCATTAACTCATTAGTTAAGTCTGCAGGCAAATCAAAATATTAATCATGGGAAAGCTCACTTACATAGTGCAATGTTAAAGGGTAGCCAAGTACACAAAACATCCCGCATTCATGCAGGGTCCGGGAAGGACCGTACCCTAAGAGGTGTGATATAAACAATCTACCCTAATGCAAGTATTAGTGGCTGTTTTCTCGGCTCGAACCCGTGACCTATAGGTCACACGGAGATAGGTTTACCGTTGCTCCAAGGCTCCAAGACAACTTTACATAGTGCAATGTTAGTTGCATCATTTTTCTTTTTCCGTTTTGCTACATAACCTTTCACCTACATGATAAACAGTACTATCCGCCAGAAGATACAAATGGCTTATCTTTTAGATTACCTTTTGCTAAATTATGCCCCCTCCATAAATTCAAGAGCACAGTACTTGCTCTATTTTTCTTTTTTTTTCCCAGTTCTGCCTCTGATGAACTTTGATGTGTGCATAACGCAAATATATGGTTTGGCCTTTTAGAATTAAATTAACTCAAATTGTGCAAACAACTGACCTTTTATGGTATAAATAATGTTTAATGTTAATCAACAGTTCAACACAAATCATTTTTAACTGTTAATTTCTTAGTCACGAGATTCATTAGTTTCCAACATTATGCAATCAATTTAAACCATTTTTCCGTAGATTTTGAAAACAAAATCTTCAAATTTCAAAAATAGCTCTAGAGTAACTTTTGAAGTTTTCTACTCACAAAACTTCAAATTCTTTTCAAGTAAAATGCATGTCCAAACACAATTTCAACTTTCAAAAATCATTTTCATCTCATCTTCAAAAACTCATTTTTTTCAAGTTTCAACCATATCTGTGTGCAAACGCTAGCTTGATTTCATCTAATATCACGCAATCAAAGTTTCAAAACGACACCGTAAAGTAGTGAAGAAAATTCGAGAATAATCATGAACCTCACCTCTAACACCAGCGTTATTAACCAAAGCATCAATTCGTCCAAAGGCGTCCCAAGCTTTCTGCACGGCGGCTTCAATGATCGAACCATTGGCGCTAACGTCAAGCTCTATAGCTACGGCTCGTACTTCCTGATTCAAACTTGACTCGTTCGAGTTTGATGAGCTGAATCCATTGATCTCATCGCAGAGAGATTTCAATCGATCAACACGGCGAGCGGCGGCGATGATTCTACAACCAGATCTGGACAAATCGAGGCAGAATTCTCGGCCGATTCCCGATGATGCGCCGGTGATCATCACCACTTTACCGGTGAGTTCTCGCCATGGCTCCAGCTGGCAAGCCACTTTAGCATGGTTCTCCATTAATTTTGTTGGTTTGTCGGTACGGAAATACTTGTGAATAGTACCTTGGATATTGAGAGAATGTAGGTTACAACTTACTGTCAATATAGTCGGCCCTTGGAGTTTTTTATTCTTATTTAAACATTTTTATTTGACTCATTGACTAGTAGCTGATGTGACAAAAGTCAATGATATTTAACAGAATGTAGTGTAAATGAAACTTACTCGCTTCTAATTTATGTGAACCTGTTTGATTGGACGCGAAGTTTAAGAAAAAATAAAACTTTTGGAATTTATGGTCCCAAACAAGTTAAAAAGGGCTCAGAGTATTTGTGTGATTATAAAAGCTTCTCATTAATGGTAGAATTGTAAGTTTAAGCTAAATTATTCCAAATTTAGAAATGGGTCATTCTTTTTGGAACAAACTAAAAAGGAAATATGTTCACATAAACTGGAACGGAGGGAGTAGTACAATAGGAAAATTTTTATTTTGTGTTTCATACAACTGAGACTAATTGTATGCGATATTTTTTTGTCTCACATTTTTGTGGATCCAGATTTTTGTGGACCCAGAAGTATAAGATTGGGGTCCACAAATTTGTGAAATAAAAAGGAGTCTCACACAACTAATGTCAATTGTATGAGCACACAATAAAACTTCTCCTGCAATAGATACGGTGATATAGACTTAATATTATTTTTATGATATGTAGGTAAAATTGATTAACTTTTTAGTTATAAATTTTTTTAAATATCTGTAATACTTAAATAAAATAGATTGACTTTTAAGATAAAAAAATATTTGAACAACTTTGACACAATACAATAAAAATTGACAAATGTGAGATTATTATGAAAGAGAGTCCAAAATGTCCAATCTGAAATGCCAATTAGAAAACCTGGTTGTTCTAAATTTAACAAATTATAGTTAGCGTTTAGATATACATTTGATTGAAACTTGAAAACAAGAGTTTTTGAAGTTATATTGAAAAGTAATTTTTGAAAGTTGAAGTTGTATTTGGACATGCATTTTATTTGAAGAAAAATTGAAGTTTTGTAAGTGGAATAAAAAATTTCACCCAAAAACTACCATAAACTAGTTTTTGGGTACTTGAAATCTTTGGAATTTCTTCCCCAAAACATAATCATATTTCACAAATAAATAATATTTTCAAATTTATTTTTCAAAAAATAAAACCAAAATCAATGGTCAAACTAGGGAGTGTTCTATTATTTGGAACAGATGGTCCAAAAGGTTTAGTCCTAATTGTTATTCGAAAAGTGGGGGGACTAAGGTGGGCCCAAATAGGCTCCAACAAGGTCAATGACTTATACAATTAGAATCTTTTGTTTATGAAGCAGTTTTACATAACAGCTTGTTTGGATGGTTGTTTCCGTTATATCGTATTGTATTGTTATCCCAAAACAATATTTGTTTTGATTGTTTCATTAAAATTGGTTGTATTGTATTGTTAAATCCATTGTTCCGGAATAATGAAAAGTCCTCTTTTTTGAAACAACCGATTTGGTGTGGTGAGATTGTTTCCTATTTTTCTTTTCAATTATGCCCTAACTTATTACTCCATAATTCTATTTGACCCTTTATCTTTTTTTCTATTTTAACTCCAAATCTCCAACCTATAACCTACTTTATTTTTTTCAAGAACTTCTGCAACCAACATTAAAGATGTTTTGTCGCCTTCTGTTTTATTGTTTCTCCTAATTTGCTTTTAACTCAATCCTAATTAGTTGTGCTCCTTTGTTTTGCTTTCTTAAGGTGTTTTGCCATTTTCTGTTTTGTTTTTTAAAATTATTTTATGCATAGTTTTAATAAATTTAATATTTAAATAATTGAGGGTATTTTAGTCAACTTATCAGTTACAGTACAGTACGATACAGTCAAACCAAACAATAAAGTATTATTTAGCAATAGTAAACAATACAATCTATCCAAACATTGTATTAATAAAACGATACGATACAATACGATACGATACAATACAATACATTATAAAACGATGGAAAACAATGATCCAAACAGAGTCTAAACTAGTATTAGTATTCGTGCAATGCACGAACATAAATCATGTTAAATTATGATTTAAGTTATTTGAATTATGTGCAAATAATCTTAGAATTAAACATTCTATATAAAAATTATAAGAAATTATTTGATATTAATTAGGCCAAATGGCCTCGTGGCCACTTAAACTTGTATCAGTTTGCAAACTCGATACATGAACTTACATTTTTCCCATTTGAACACTCCAACTTGATAAAATAGGTACTAATAAACACCTTTGACCATTGACCATGCCAATATGGAAGCAGCACAGCTAACAAGGTTAAACTGTGTGCAAATCACGCTGCCAAAGCGCATGGATATATTGTGTTTATTAAAAAAATATTAGAATTAGAATAAAATATAAATAAAAAAGAAAAAGAAAAAAGAAAAAAAAATCTTTCCCTTTCTCCTTCTCTTTTCCCCTCCCTTCCACCTCTCTCGTCATCCTAGCAAAACTCTCACCCATTTTCTGTAATATTTTTTTATTTTCTATCCTAATTTTTCTCCCCCTCCCCTTTCTCTATTTCTTTTTCCCTTCATCTCCCTCCTTCAATAATTTTTTCTTTCATTTGCTAGTCTCCACCCACCATTTCAGTCCCAACCTCCCTCAACCGCCGGTGGTCGGAAAAAAGGCTGAGCTTTGTCGTTGTTCTATCATGGTCTTTGCCGGAATAGCAGCAAAAAAAGGCAGAATTGCAACGGTATTCGGCGACCTCCACTTTTAAAATCATGAATTTCTGTTATTTTTTTCCCCTAAAATTCCATTTTTTTTTGTTTTGTTATGGTATAAACATGATCATAGTGTTCTTGTGACTTTAATTTAGAAATAAGAGAGAGAAAGAACAATGAAGAAAAAGAGAAAGGAGAAGAAAGAAGAAGAGTAAGGAAGGGAGGAGGGAGAACGATGAAGAAGAAGGATGGTTGGGTACAGATTAAAACTGGGGTAGTATGTTTCAGGTGTTTTTCCTTTTTTTTTTTTTGATTTTTTGTATTTGTAACTTTTTTTTTGTTGCTAATTTTGTATTTAAAAATGAAACCCACAAATAACACATGTCAAGTAATACACAATTTAGTATATGACATGTTGTACATGTCAGCGCAATTGATATACACGCTCTGCTAGATGTGTTTATTAATACCTATTTTGCAAGTTGGAGTGTTCAAATGAGAAAAGTGTAAGTTCATGTATCGAGTTTGAAAACTGATTCAAGTTTAAATGGCCACGAGGCCATTTGGCCTATTAATTAAGAAGCATGACATGAAATTATTTTTCAAATCTCATAGTGGATAACCTGTATTCTTTTTTTATATCTGTAATAAACCAACCCCTTGATTTTGACGCTTGTATTATATTTTACGGTTAATATTAAAGAATACTAAACATGTAATGTTGTGATCTATCTTGTTTGAGCACATTAAATTATATTATTTTAATAAAATTCTTACTACCAGTTATTTATCATCTCAAATTCAAATAAGTCTTATCCTTTTACATTTTTAGACATAACATTTTTTTTTGTTCCTTGCTATAGTTTTTGCATTATTTATTAAGTACTTAATATTGTTATATTGCAATGTGATCTTTTATTATCCTTTTAATAATTATCTATAAGTATAAAAAATATTCTTGAAATTTAATGTATTTTTACATTATTATCCTCTTACTCGAGTCTCTTTCATCATTTAAATTTATTAATAATATTTTTGAGTATTATTTAATAATTTAATTTATTATTTTTAAATAAATTTAAATATAAGTATTCTCACACTATCTCTATTTTCCTCTATATACATTCTCTTCCCTACTAAAAAATTTTAATTAGCTTTTTGCATAAATATTTTACCTATACTCAAAATTATATCATATTTTATTTTAAAAAATAACTTTGAATTAGTCTAAAAATTAATACAAAAGTTCTTTTAAAATGTTTCAAATCTATTGAATTTTCTTATCATTATTTTTTGTATTACCTGCATTTATTTTATTTTCTCTTCTACTTTCAAGATACAAATTTGGCTTTTAATTTTCATTAGTGAAATTGCCTACATGAGATATTTCTTTAGTATATTTAAATTTTATTTAGTATCAAATTTTTATTTTTCTTTATCTAGCAAGACATCAACTTTGTGGTCATATTCGTATTTTGAGCTTTCTTATCGTAACTATAAAAATTTTCTAATCTCAAGTTCAAATAGTTTTTTCTTTTTATTTTCAATAGAGTTTTTTAAAATTTTAATTAATGTTATCTAATATGTAATATTATCACGTTTTTATGTGATTTTTTTTATTAACTTTTTACTTTATTTAATATTTTTATTACTACTATTTTTAATATAATATAGATAGATATTTCATTTTTTATATTAAAAGAAATAATTTTTTTTATTTTTAGACTATTGATTGAAATTCTTAAATTGTTTAAATGTTTAAAAATTTGTTTAAGTATTGTATATTTACTTTACTTTATTTTTCAAAGTAATTGTTTAATATCCTCACATTATCTCTAGTTTATTTTTATTATCCAATATTTTTAGTTTTTTTCTTTTATCTATTGTCAGACCTCCTTTTTTCGGATGGTTGTGGAAAAAAAGAGTTTTTTTTTCTATTTAAGTGACATTATTGAAAAGGGACTAATTTATTATTTAGTTTATAGAGTCGCCACTTGAAAAAAATGGATTAAGGTGTTCCAAGTCACCGATTATTTTAAAATCTCATTCAATAAAAAAATTGACTCTGTTTAAATCTGCGAAACACAGAAGACCTGATAAAGAATTCTTTTAACTTGGGAAAAGATGTGAGGCACTCCCGAATTTCGTAGTTTTAGCACGGCCGCTTTACAATTTCACTCAGCCTAATTATGTGATTATTACATACTTTCAAACCTATGTGCCTTTTACCTTTTACCACTTTTGACTTTATATTTTAGATAATTATAGAGTTTATTTGAAACAAGTGACGAGCGCAAAACATAACACGAAATTAATACTCGCTAATCAAAGATAGTATAGTAAAATTATCATCTTCATAGGGGTTAAATTTAAACAATGTTCA